ACGAAGCAGATATTGTCCTCTTTTGGAAGACCAAACGAAGTAGTTTCGCTTTTACAACGAAGCACACAGCGTCTTTGTGACATGGCGGCGGAAACAACAAAACTACAGCGAGAATAAAAGTTACGCCTTCTTTCTTTGCGGGAACATTTGGGTGGCATTATGCAAATCTTACCACATAGCGACGTAGATATGTGGGGGCCTGTTAGAACGACACGTTTTAGGTAGTTGTGGCTGACTCTTAACTTTATAAAGAATATCTCTTTGGATTTGAGACTTTAGTCTTTGCTATTTCTGGGATAATATGAATGACTGTACGACTGAAATAATACTGTGTAGTTGAAAAGACTGTGTGAAGCTGTTTCTTAACCAAACATGGTAACTCTCTGGGAGTCAGCGGCAGTGCGAACGCAGATTTGAATGATCCGGCAAGACTTTGTCAAAGATTTAATAGACACGGGAGAATCGTTGTCATTTAGAAATTAGATCGTGTGGTTGTCTGAATCGAGATCGCAATCTTTTAATGATTAATCGTGCAGCTCTAATACACAACTTAATTTGGAAGTTATTATAAAACCCATCGCAGGCACAACACAATTAGTTTTAAAATATACACGTACCTTAAGAAAATCTACCCTTGCAACTAACCTAGACGTGTCTTCTGCACAGCATGGCACATAGTTAGGTTGAATAACGCGGGAAGAGCTTTGACGTAGTGTTGGGTCGTTCTTGAACGATCCGTTCATTTTGAACGAATCTTTAATGTGACTCGGGAAGAACGAGTCGTCTCACAATGCAGTCTGAGCCGGAAAGAGATTTGATTAGTTCATCTCTCGAGTCTTCGGGTTTGAGTCGTTCATTCATCACGTGACAGCCCCATAAGCTTACCCTATGCAGTCTGAGCCGGAAAGAGAATTGATTAGTTCATCTCTCGAGTCTTCGGGTTTGAGTAGTTCATCTCTCGAGTCTTCGGGTTTGAATCGTTCATTCATCACGTGACAACCCCATAAGCTTACCCAATGCAGTCTGAGCCGGAAAGAGAATTGATTAGTTCATCTCTCGAGTCGGGTTTGAGTCGTTCATTCATCACGTGACAGCCCCATAAGC